CGGGGCACCGCAACCTCCACCTCCTGGGTTCAAGCAATTCTCCTACTTCAGTCTCCCGAGCAGCTGGGACTACAGGCTGCGCCATCATGCCCAGCTAATTTTTTTGTATTTTTAGTAGAGATGGGGTTTCACCATGTTCAGGATGGTCTTGATCTCTTGACCTAGTGATCCACCCGCCTCGGCCTCCCAAAGTGCTGGGATTATAGGCGTGAGCCACTGCGCCCGGCACGATTTGACTATTTTTATCTGTAGTCCTTGGCTTTTGGTCTCCTTTCCCCCCGCCCCCCAAGGCTTCCCAGAGTTTTTGTTTTTGTTTTCAGAGAGAGATGAGGTTTTGTTATGTTGCCAGGCTGGACTGGAACTCCTGGGCTCAAGTTCTCCTCCCTCCTCAGCCTCCTGAGTAACTATAACTATAGGTACCTGCTATCATGTCCAGCTCTAACCTCCCTGTTTTGTTTAGAAAAATATTTATGAATTATGATCCTTGACAAACCCTTAAGTGGTACCAGCTTGAATACAAACAGGAATTATTATTACTTTGTGTTAGGTTTAAAATATACAACTTTCATTTTAGATTAAAGAAATTGTCGTTGCAGATAATTTGGAAAACAAAGAAAAGTATAAGAAGGAAGACACTACCAGTAAGCTTTCGATCTGGAGTGAATCGCTGTTGGTTGCATTTCTTTCCTATCATTTTTTTGGAGGGTATGTGTACATACATGTGTATAAACAGACTTAGAAGATGTATTACTGGGCATTTTAGGTTATACATTCTTTAAGCATAAGTACAGCAGGCAGGCTGTATATGATAAGGTACTCTGATTCAGAGTATAAACACCTGACTTACAAACATGCATGCCTCGAATATCAGTGGCTGTGGTGGTAGGTGATCAGCTTCCTTCTTGCTGCCAGAACAGTGGACTTCTCTTTGCAGCTATGGTAGGGATCTGCTTCCTGCTGCTGAGGTGGAAGGGCTTGCTTCTCACCACTTTGGTAGTGGAAGTTCTCACATCTCAGTGTTCTGAGCAGAAGAGCATCACTTCATGCTGTCTCAGAGGATAAGGTGTAGGACCTTGCTTCTCATTAATACATAGGCCAATTTCTTCCTGTTACAGCAACGGGAGGCTTCACTACTCTCTGGGATAATGACAGGAAACCTTTCTTTTCCTCTCGGGAAGAGGGAAAAGACTCTTTTTTTTTTTTTTTTCTTTTTTTTGAGACAGAGTCTCACTCTGTCACCCAGGCTAGAGTGCAGTGGTCGGATCTCAGCTCACTGCAACTTATGCCTCCCGGGTTCAAGCAATTCTCCTGCCTCAGCGTCTTGAGTAGCTGAGACTACAGGTACAGGCCACCATATGTGGCTAATTTTTTGTATTTTTAGTAGGGACGGGGTTTCATTATGTTAGCCAGGATGGTCTTGATCTCTTGACCTTGTGATCCGCCCACCTCGGCCTCTTAAAGTGTTGGGATTACAGGTGTGAGCCACTTGCCCGGCCTGGAAAAGACTCATTCTAAACGTTGGAGCTGAAGCAGTGGTTGGTAGGAGATGTGCCTACAGCGTTCTGAGTAGAGTCTGACTTATGATCAAATACTTTCTTCTCTAGCCTTGAACTCAACCATCCACAGTATCATCACTTGCCTCTGAACATAGCATAAGGTTAGTTTCTCTTAATGTAATTTAATTTCTACCAGGTTCTTCAAGGCTGTTTTTCTTTCCTTCAGAGTACTGGCTATATACTCTGTGGCTCTGAGTGTGATCCTCAGCACCACTGGGGATTTGTGAGAAATACAAATTCTTGGCCCTGATTACACACCCATTAATTCAGAATTCCCATAGCCTAGCAATGTGTTTTAACAATCGCTCCAGCTGATTCCAACATGGTGCAAGTTTAAGAACTTTTGCCGTAGTCTATGGGTTCTCTTCTTCCTTGAAATTCTAATCTCTGCTTGACAATTTATGTCACATTGTATCTATAACTAATTGTTTCATGTATATTACATACCAAAACTAGTGGCTTAATTGTGTCTGTATTTGCTGTCTTTATTATTATTTTTTGAGATGGAGTTTTGCTCTTGCTGCCCAGGCTAGAGGGCAATGGTATGATCTCAGCCCACTGCAATGTCTACCTCCTGGGTTCAAGCGATTCTCCTGTCTCAGCCTCCTGAGCAGCTGGGATTACAGGCAAATGCCACCACGCCTGGCTAATTTTGTATTTTTAGTAGAGACGGGGTTTCTCTATGTTGGTCAGGCTGGTCTTGAACTCCTGACCTCACGCGATCCACCTGCCTTGGCCTCCCAAAATGCTGGGATTACAAGTATAAGCCAATGCTCCTGGCCTGCTGTCTTTATTATTATTATTATTATTATTTTAAAGACGGGGTCTCACAGTCTACCAGGCTGGAGTAGAGGGGTGCAACCATAGCTCTCTACAGCCTTGAGCTCCTGGCCTCAAGCAGTCCTTCTGCCTCAGCCTCCTGAGTAGATGGGGCTACAGGTGCAAGCCACCCTGCCTGGCTAATTTTTAAACTTTTTGTAGAGTGTTTCCCTACATTGCTCAGGCTGGTTTTAAACTTCTGGGCTCAAGTGATCCTCCTGCTTTGGCCTCTCAAAGCTTTGGGATTACAAGAGTGAGCCACCATGCCTGGCCTGTATTTGCTATACAATTTTGCTAGATTTCCATATCCCTGTTTCCCAGAATTTCTGGGCATCTCTAAAAATATAGGAAAGATACTCTTTGCCACACATTATTAAGAAGTATAATAAAATAAAATAAGGCTGGGCATGGTGGCTCACGCCTGTAATCCCAGTACTTTGGGAGGCTGAGGTGGGAGGATCACCTGAGGTCAGGAGTTCAAGACCAGCCTGGCCAACATGGCAAAACCCTGTCTCTACTAAAAATGCAAACATTAGCCAGGTGTGGTGGTGGTGGTAGTGTGTATCTGTAATCCAGCTACTTGTGAGGCCGAGGCCAGAGGATTGCTTGAACCCGGGAGACAGAAGTTGCAGTGAGCCAAGATGGCACCATTGCACTTCAGCCTGGGTGATGAGTGAAACTCTGTCTCAAAAAAAAAAAAAAAAAAAGGAGAAGTATAATAAAAGAAAATGTATATTCTCTAAACATATATTCACAATAAAAGACCAGTCTGTATAGGGGCCAAGATGTCCTGGACAAACCCAGGCCTTACTAATTTCCCTCACCCACCTCCAGTGATGTCCTGGCTTGGTAGTAGGTTTTCCTCTGCTGAGGTTTCACACCTTCCTGACAGTCCAGTGAATTCACCAATACCATTCTAACTGTGTGATCCTGGGCATATTTTTAATGTGCCTCAGTTCCCTTACCTGGGAATAGGGGTAATGTAGTATCCACTTCATAGTGTTAAGTGAAATAATACATGTAAAGAACTTAGGGCAGTATCAGGAGCATAGTAACAATTCAGCATATGTAAGGTGGTGTTGTCATTTCTCTAGTTCCTTGTAAGATCCATGATCAAACACACCAGGACTTCCATACATGTCACTTTTGCTTTTCTTGAAGAGATCTCACCACCAGGAATGGTTTCAGTTCATAGTTATTAGCTCAGAGTTATTCTTCACCACCACCCTAGGGAGGAGGTCCCGTTGGCTGTCTCCCTTTTGGATCTTCTGTTTCCTGGATCGTATGTTTTCCTTTTTTTAAAAAATTTATTTTTGATTTTTTTTGAGACAAGGTCTTGCTCTGTCACCCAGGCTGGAGTGCAGTACAGTCTCAACCTCCTGGGCTCAAGCGATCCTCACACTTCAGCTTCCTGAGTAGCTGGGACTACAGGCACATGCCATGCCTGACTAGTTAAAAAAAAATTTTTTTGTAGAGATAGGATCTCCCTATGTTTCCCAGTCTGGTCTTGAACACCTGGGCTCAAGTAATCCTTCTGCCTTGGTCTCTGAAAGTGCTGGGATTATAGGCTTGAGCTGATTGTTTTCCTATTTATTATGTATACTCCCTCATCTTGGTGGGGTATATCTTCCAATAGCTTCCTAAGGAAGAATGCATACGTACATGTTTTGAGCCATGGTAACTGGAAAGTGTCTTTTCTGTTATACTTTGCAGTTGGCTGGGTAGGTTGGAAATCATTTTCCTTAGGGGCTGGTCCACTATTTTCTGGCTTTCAGTGCTATGTTTCCTTTTTGGATGCAGAAAAGTAAATTTTCTTCCTTATTAAAAACTTTTAGCATCTTTTCCCTGATGTTCTGAAATGTTATAGTAATGTGCCATGCGTGGGTACAGGTCTTTTATTATTCATTGTGCTGGATATTCAGTGGACATTTAAAATCTATAAACTCATGTGTGTGAGTTCTGGGAAATATTCTAGGACTATTTCTTTGATAATTTCCTGCCTTCATTTGGTTTTCTTGTTCACTATTTAGAATGTTCATTATTTGGAATGTTGGACTTATTTTCTCATTTTTTCTAGTGCTGTTTTCTCTCTAATATTTTCAGAGATTTTCTTAATTTAAATTTTTACTTCTGCCATCCTATTTTTACTTTTCAAGAGCTTCAATTTTTTATTCTTTTGTTTCTTTTATATAGTTTCCTGTTCTAATTTCATGAATGCAAATTCCCCCTCATATCTTGGAGGATATTATAATATTTCTACTGTATCATGCTTTATCTCTACTTCTTTTTTTTTTTTAATTTTTTATTGGATTTTAGGTTTTGGGGTACATGAGCAGAGCATGTAAGACAGTTGCGTAGGAACACACATGGCAGTGTGCTTTTCTTTCCTTCTCCCCTTCACCCACATTTGGCATTTCTCCCCAGGCTATCCCTCCCCACCTCCCCCTCCCACTGGCCCTCCCCTTTTCCCCCCAATAGACCCCAGTGTTTAGTACTCCCCTTTCTGTGTCCATGTGTTCATTTTTCATCACCCACCTATGAGTGAGAATATGCAGTGTTTCATTTTCTGTTCTTGTGTCAGTTTGCTGAGGATGACGTTCTCCAGGTTCATCCATGTCCCTACAAATGACACAAACTCATCATTTCTGATTGCTGCATAATATTCCATGGTGTATATGTGCCACATTTTTCCAATCCAGTCTATTATCAATGGGCATTTGGGTTGATTCCAGGTCTTTGCTATTGTAAACAGTGCTGCAATGAACATTCGTGTACATGTGTCCTTATAGTAGAACGATTTATAGTCTTTTGGATATATACCCAGTAATGGGATTGCTGGGTCAAATGGAATTTCTATTTCTAAGGCCTTGAGGAATCGCCACACTGTCTTCCACAATGGCTGAACTAATTTACACTCCCACCAACAGTGTAAAAGTGTTCCTTTTTCTCCACATCCTCTCCAGCATCTGTTGTCTCCAGATTTTTTGATGATCGCCATTCTAACTGGCGTGAGATGGTATCTCAATGTGGTTTTGATTTGCATCTCTCTGATGACCAGTGACGATGAGCATTTTTTCATATGATTGTTGGCCTCATATATGTCTTCTTTCGTAAAGTGTCTATTCATATCCTTTGCCCACTTTTGAATGGGCTTGTTTGTTTTTTTCCTGTAAATCCGTTTGAGTTCTTCGTAAATTCTGGATATCAGCCCTTTGTCAGATGGGTGAACTGCAAAAATTTTTTCCCATTCTGTTGGTTGCCGATCCACTCTAGTGACTGTTTCTTTTGCCGTGCAGAAGCTGTGGAGTTTCATTAGGTCGCATTTGTCTATTTTGGCTTTTGTTGCCAATGCTTTTGGTGTTTTGTTCATAAAGTCCTTGCCTACTCCTATGTCCTGGATAGTTTTGCCTAGATTTCCTTCTAGGGTTTTTATGGTGCCAGGTCTTATGTTTAAGTCTTTAATCCATCTGGAGTTAATTTTAGTGTAAGGTGTCAGGAAGGGGTCCAGTTTCTGCTTTCTGCACATGGCTAGCCAGTTTTCCCAACATCATTTGTTAAACAGGGAATCCTTTCCCCCTTGCTTGTTTTAGTCAGGTTTATCAAAGATTGTATAGTTGTACATATGTTGTGTTGCCTCCGGTGCCTCTGTTTTGTTCCATTGGTCTATATCTCTGTTTTGGTACCAGTACCATGCTGTTTTGATTACTGTAGCCTTGTAGTATAGTTTGAAATCCGGTAGTGTGATGCCCCCCGCTGTGTTCTTTTTGCTTAGAATTGACTTGGCTATGCGGGCTCTCTTTTGGTTCCATACGAAGTTCATGGTGGTTTTTTCCAGTTCTGTGAAGAAAGTCAATGGTAGCTTGATGGGGATAGCGTTGATTCTGTAAATTACTTTGGGCAGTATAGCCATTTTCACGATATTAATTCTTCCTAACCATGAACATGGAATGTTTCTCCATCTGTTTGTGTCCTCTCTGATTTCGTTGAGCAGTGGTTTGTAGTTCTCCTTGAAGAGGTCCCTTACGTTCCTTGTGAGTTGTATTCCAAGGTATTTTATTCTTTTTTTATCTCTACTTCTTTAGTTTGTTCTTTCTTTCCTTCTTGTTTTAATATTTCTTTAATATTAATGATCTAATAATAATCTTCCTTAAATATCATTTTTTTTTTTTAAAAAAAGAGATGCGGGTCTCATTATGTTGCCCAGGCTGGACTTGAACTCCTGGGCTCACATGGTCCTCCTGCCTCAGCCTTTTGAGTAGCTAAGACTACAGGCATGTGTCACTATGCTTGGCTCTTAAATGTCCCTTGATACTTTGGATATCTATTCCTATTTTAGAATGAGAGTAAGCACTCTGTAAGGCAATTGGAAGCTCTTTAGTGTGTTAAAGCTTATTGATGGAGCCTTGTTTTATCAATAGACTTTTAACTGTGAGTGTGAGTTTTTTCTCTTGGGCTAGTCAATTTCCCTGGAGAGGAATTCTCTAAAATTTTACTTGGGTGGTATAAATCTAGCTTTAACACGTTGGTAACTATGGAAAGAGAAGGGGGCTAGTGGGAGGTCTTGCATTCAGTAAGTACATTTTTTTTTCTTTCTTTTTTGCGACAGAGTCTTGCTCTGTCACCCAGGCTGGAGTGCAGTGGCGTGATCTTGGCTCACTTGCAACCTCTGCCTCCCGGGTTCAAGAGATTCTTGTGCCTCAGCCTACCAAGTAGCTGGGATTACAGGTGTGTACCACCGTGCGTGGCTAATTTTTGTATTTTTTATAGTGATGGTGATTTGCTACGTTGGCCATGCTGGTCTCAAAGCAACCCGTCTGCCTCCCCCTCCCAAAGTGCTAGGATTACAGGCAAGAGCCACAGTGCTCAGCCCCCTTTGCTTCCTCTGCTTTCCAGAGCTATTTTTCTTACCTCTTCATTAGTCTCTTGGCCATCAGTCTGTCTTTCTGCCAGGCTTTTCTATATGCTATTTCCAGGTCAAACTACTCCACTCCTCTATCAAAATCTTTCTTCCTCAGTGCTCCCCTCTCCCAGTTCTTTCAATGGCTCCCTACTGCTTGGAGGAACTCTCAGAAGAGATTTTCTATAGTCTGGATTCAGTACATATTTTCCACCTTATCTCTTCCTGCTTCCCTATACAAACCTCATGTTTTAGCCAATTTATCTGTCCCTGTTCTGTAAATCCAAATGTAGACTATATTCTAAGTCCTTTTCTCATGACATTCTCTTATTGAACTGCTGAATCAGATATTTAATAGCTATATTATATTGGGAAAGTCAATTAAATTCAACAAATATTAAGTGCCTGTATGTTCTGTGCTTTGTGTTAGGTTCAGGAAAGATATGAATAAGCCTGACATGGTCCCTGTTCTTTCAGAGCTCACAATCTAATGTACAAGGCTGCCTGTTAAACCTGTAATGCCAACAGTACAATGTGCTGTATGATAGGGAGAGAAGAGCATGTAGGAGCAAGCCTGACCCAGAACTGGGGGTCAGAGAAGGCCTTTCAGAGGGAGTGCTACTCACTGGGACAGAAAGGATAAGCAGGAGTCAGCTAAGTATACATAGGTAGTGGGGTTGAATTGTGTTTCCCAAAAAAATATTCAAGTCCCCAGCCCTGTACCTGCTATGGGACCTTATTTGGAAAGTATCTTTGCAGATGTAATTAAATTAAAGATCTTGAGATGAGATCATCCTGAATTTAGGGTGGGTCCTAAATCTAATTATTAGTGACCTTATAAAAGAAAGGAGAGGAAGATTGTGTTTTTTTGAGATGGAGTCTCACTCTCTCACCCAGGTTGGAATACAGTCGCAAAATCTCAGTTCCCTGCAACCTCTGTCTCCTGGGTTCAAGCAACTCTCCTGCCTCAGCCTCCTGAATAGCTGGGATTACAGGTACACACCACCACAACCGGCTAATTTTTGTATTTTTAGTGGAGATGGAGTTTCACCACGTTGGTCAGGCTGGTCTTGAACTCCTGACCTTGTGATCCACCCGCCTCAGCCTCCCAAAGTGCTGGGATTACAGGCATGAGCCACTGCATCCAGGAGTGGAAGATTTGAGACACAAATAGAAGAAGGTATTGAAAAAATGGAAATAAGAATTATGCTGCCACAAGCCAAGGAATGCCAGGAATCACTAGAGGCTGGAATTGCCAGGGAAGGATTCTCCCCTGGAGAAGGAAGGGGTGTGGCCTTAATGACACCATCTGGCCTCCAAAACTGGGAGAGAATAATTTTTTAAGTCACAGAGTTTGTGGTAATTGTATTTATTTATTTATTTATTTTAGAGATGGAGCTCTTGCTGTGTTGCCCAGGCTGGAGTGCACTGGCTATTCACAGGCATAGTTCTGTTGCTGATCAGCACATGAGTTGTTTTTTTTTTTTTTTTTTTTGAGTTGGAGTTTCGCTCTTGTGGCCCAGGCTAGAGTGCAGTGGTGCAATCTCAGCTAACTGCAACCTCCACCTCCCAGGTTCAAGTGGTTCTCCTGTCTCAGCCTCCCAAGTAGCTGGGATTACAGGCGCTCACCACTATGCCCAGCTAATTTTTTCTATTTTTAGTAGAGACAGGGTTTCGCCATGTTAGGCAGGCTGGTCTCAAACTCTGGACCTCAGGTGATCTGCTCCCCTCGGCCTCCCAAATTGCTGGGATTATAGGTATGAGCCACAGCACCTGGCTAGCACTGGAATTTTAACCTGCTCTGTTTCTAACCTAGGCTGGTTTACCACTCCTTAGGCATCCTGGTGGTCCCCTGTTCCTGGGAGGTCACCATATTGATGCCAAACTTAGTGTAGAAACCTGTTTGGCATAGTGCACTATAGGCCAGAGCTCTTGGGATGAAGGGATCCTCCTGCCTCAGCCTCCCATGTAGCTGGAACTACAGGCCTGTACCACCGTGATTGTTATGGTAATTTTTTATAACAGCCCTAGGAAACTGACTCATAAAGGGAGAAATTGTCTTAGGCAAATATCAGGAGGTGAGAGAGCATGCAGTATTTGAGGACAGGAATTAAATGTAATCTGGGGTGTGAAAGGGGAAGTTATAAGAGATGAGGGCTGGGCACAGCTGCTCTCGCCTGTAATCTCAGCACTCTTTGGAGGCTGAAGGGTGGATCACTTGAGGTCAGGAGTTCAAGACCAGCTTGAGAAATGTGGTGAAACCTTGTCTTTACAAAAAAATACATTTGTAGTCCTAGCTACTTGGGGAAGCTGAAGTGAGAGGATTGTTTGAGTCTGCGGTAGAGGCTGCAGTAAGCCTTAATCACTACACTCCAGCACTCTAGCCTGGGAGATAAGAGCAAGACTCTGTTGAGAGAGAGAAAGAGATATATGAGACTGGAGGTTAAGCAAAGGGTATATCGTGAAGAACCTTTAAAATGCCATATTAAGTTAGAGCTTTTTCATAGGAAACATGAAAGGTCACTGTAGGCCTTTTAGAATGTAAGTGATATGATGATATGATTAGATTTGTGCCTGGCATTAGGTCATTTAAATATTTTCTAATAGATGGAGTTATAATCTGGCTGCAGTGTGGAAAATGGATAGAGACGGCAAAAATGGAGGCAGAGTGACAAGGCAGTATACTTCAGTAAGTCCAAGAATATAGTGACTTACTTACTCTAGGGTAGTTTCTATGGGGATAGAGAGAAGTGCATGGCTTACATGTTGAGGAGGTAGGTTAGACAGGGCTTAGTGATTTGGTTGGATGTAGGGATTGAGAGAGCAGTGACAACTGAGGGTCATGCTGCGCCTTTGTCTCAGACAAGTGGGTAAACACAATGAGATGGCAAAGCCATGCACTGAGATCTGAAACTCAAGTGGAAGAACTAGTAGAAGTATGCGTGGACAAAGAGATAAATTAAGTTTTGACCTTTTTGGTTTGAGGTGGCTGTGGATTTCCAAATGGAGATGCCCAGTAAGCAGATGGAAACCCTAGAGGGAAGGTCTGGGCTGGAGATCCAGTGTGATCTTCTCTGTGCCTCATTCTCGTGCCTGTATGCAAATGGAGGCATTAGGATCTACCTCATAGGTTTGATTTGGGGGTTAAATGGAGGTCATTCAGCCAATAATTACTGCGCTCCTGGTGTATACCAAGCATTTTCCTATAGTAGACACTGGGAATATAGTAGTAAATAAAACACACAAAAAATAATTATTGTTCTCATGGAGCTTACATTCTAGCATGAGAATACAGATAATGAACAAAATAAATAAGTAAATTTTTATTACATATTAAAAGGTGATGAATAATATGAAGAAAAATAAAGCAGAGAAGTAGGGACAGGGAGTGGTAGGAGGCTTGCAGTTTTAAACAGGGTGGCCAGAGAAGGCCTTGCTGAGATGACATTTGAACAAAGACCCAAAGGTGGTGAGAGTGAATCGAGTGAGTAATGGTCTACTCAGGGGAAAAGTAACCAGACAGAGGGAAAAGCAAGTGTAAAGGTCTTGAGGTGGGAGTGTGTTTGATGTATTTGAAGGAGAGTAAGGAGGCCGGCATGGGTAGAGCAGAGTAACAGACACAAAATCAAAGAGGTCAAAGGGGAATGCAGAGCACATAGAGGGCCAATATGTCATTGTAAAGGCTTTGGCTTGGGGCCAGGCTGTGACTCATGCCGGTAATCCTAGCACTTTGAGAGGCCAATGTGAGCACATCTCTTGAGCCCAGGAGTGTGAGTCTGGCCTGGGCAACATAGTGAAAACCTGTCTCCAGAAAAAATAGAAAAATTAGTAAGCTGTGGTGGTGCACACCTGTAATCCAAGATATTTGGGAGGCTGAGATGGGAGGATCACTTAAGCCTGGGAGGTTGAGGCCTCAACGAACCATCATGATGCCACTGTAAGACCCTGTCTCAAAAAAGAAAAAAAAGACTTTGGCTTTTACTCTGAGGGAAATGGGAGGGTTTGGAAGGTTTTGAGCTGAGGAGTGTTTGGAAGACTGATTTGGTGCTGTAGGAGTCAAGGAGTCAGCTAGGCACAGGGAGTGTTGTGAGTAGACTGTCCAGCAGGGAGCAGCAGTCAAAAGGTGCAAGCAGGGAGACCAGTTATTAGCCAGGGAAAAACTAATGTATGTAAAATGCTGTTCAGAGCTTTGCACTTAATACATATTCAATACATGGTATCAACTATGTGAATACCTATCAAATTCTACCGTTAACGAAATCAAGACCTCCTTTCTCAGGAAACTAAGTGAATTATCTCTGCCACTTTTTTGACAATTATTTAACATATTTTGAATTATGTTACTTCTGTATATTTATTTAAATATATATTTCTGACTTTTCTTTCCATTTATATATGTGTATGTGCGTGTGAGTGTGTATACATATATAATTATTATTTTTGCTTTCTTTCTTTTGAGACAGGGTCTCACTTTGTTACCCAGGCTGGAGTGTGGTGGGGTGACCATGGTTCACTATAGGCTTGACCCCCAGGCTCAAGCAATCATCCTGCTTTAGCCTTCCAAGTAGCGGAGACAACAGGCGTGTGCCACCATGGTGGCTAATTTTTTGCTTATAAAAATTTATCACTACAGTTTTTTTTTCTTTTTTTTTTTTAGACTAAGTTTCACTGTCACCCAGGCTGGAGTGGAGTGGTACAATCTTGGCTCACTGCAAACTTCACCTCCCAGATTCAAGTGATTCTCATGCCTCAGCCTCCCAAGTAGCTAAGATTATAGGTGTCTGCCACCACACCTGGCTACTTTTTTTATTTTTAGTAGAGATGGGGTTTCACCATGTTACCTAGGCTAGTCTCAAACTCCTGGCCTCAAGCAATCCACCGGCCTTGGTCTCCCAAAGTGTTGGGATTACAGATGTGAGCCACCACACCCGGCCCATCTCTACAATGTTTTCATTATTAAAGTTTATGATCTTGGTCTTTCCTTTGTGCCTTTGTAAAGGGCCAAAAGAGAGAGATTGGCAACTTTGATAACCTTAAAGGAAACTCCAGGAATATCACCAACAGCATGACCTTTTTAACCAAATCCAGCAACAAGAACTTCATTGTTTTTCTCAATAAAGTTCAAGCAACCACCGTTGGGTACAAAGGCTGTGATTTTCTTGCCATTCTTGATCAGCTGGACGCTGGCATACTTCCTGATGGCAGAATTTGACTGTTTGGCTTCAACCCCTACTTTTTCCAGCATAATTCCTTTTGTGTGAGAAGCACCTCTAAAGGGGTTGGCCTTCAGGGTTGTGTCCAAATAGGCTTCTTGTACTGTTTATCATGCCACTTCTGGGCTCGTCAGTGACTATGGAGCTTCCTAGCAGCAGGAAGTCCATGACACTTGCCAATCCTGCTGGTGCCATGGGCCTGAATGAAAGAGCTACTTTTTGTAGAGACTGGGTTTCACCAGGTTGCCCAGGCTAATCTCAAACTCATGGGCTCAAATGATCCCTTCACTTTAGCCTCTCAAAGTGTCTCCACTTATATGTTAAATACTATGTCTTAAACATTTTTAATCTCCTTAGAAACCAGGCAATAGCAAGATAACAAGTTAAATAATAACAAGATAACCAGATAAATAACAGCCATGCCACAGTAACAATAAAATCACCAACATCAGCAAACATTTCCTGAGTACTTATTGAGTGTGAGAGGCAGTATAGGGAGATAGGTAAGACAGCATGAGTTCTGGAATCAGGCTGTGCTAAAATACTGGTACCAGTCCCTCTTGGGCAAGTTATTTAACTGACGTGTGCAGAAGTTTTTTTATCTGTAAAATGGGAGTGATGATAGTATATATTCATTAGGGAGGTGAGGATTAAATTAGATAATATGTATATTCTCATTTTAAAAAAATCTATTGAATTTTATTCTTTAAGAGAAAGATCTCACTCTGTTGCCCAGGTTGGAGTGCAGTGGCACAATCACAGCTCCCTGTAACCTCAAATTCCTGGGTTCAAATGAGCTTCTTTTTTTTTTTGAGACGGAGTTTCGCTCTTGTTACCCAGGCTCGAGTGCAATGGTGCGATCTCGACTCACCACAGCCTCCGCCTCCTGGGTTCAGGCAATTCTCCTGCCTCAGCCTCCTGAGTAGCTGGGATTACAGGCACGCACCACCATGCCCAGCTAATTTTTTGTATTTTTAGTAGAGACGGGGTTTCACCATGTTGACCAAGATGGTCTCGGTTTCTTGACTTTGTGATCCACTCGCCTCGGCCTCCCAAAGTGCTGGGATTATAGGCTTGAGCCACCGCGCCCGGCCTCAAATGAGCTTCTTGAATAGCTGGGACTACAGGCATTCACAATCATGCCCAGTTAATTTTTTTAATTTTTAATTTTGTAGAGATGGGGGTCTTGCTATGTTGCTCAGGCTGGTCCGAAGCTTCTGGCCTTAAGTGATCCTCCCACCTCAGCCCTCTGAGTAGCTGAGATTACAGGTGTGAGTCATGGTGCCTGGCTATACTTTTTTTTAAATGAAACTTCAATTTTCAAGATAATGAGTATGCTTAGTCTAGTTGCTTCCACATAATAATAATAGCTAACATTTATTGAGGTCTTATAATATGCTAAGCACTTCAATATGTATTATTACACATTAGCCCCACAATTGCCCAATCAGGTAGGTATTATTATTCACATTCTCTTTTTATAGATGAGGAAACTGAGGCTGAGAAGTTAAACAATGTATCAAATTGTGTACCAACAGCAGGCTTTGCTAAGTGTCTTTGAATTGGAATGAAAAACAGAACTTTGTGCATCCTCTGTTGTACATCTGACAGAGAGATAGGAGAGTATAAAGAGACTACTTATTGAGGGGGAGAATAATATTTTTACATTGTTGGTGGTATTCTATACTCTTAAGTATCTCTAGGTGGGAGACTGGAATGCTTTGAAAGAGTATGAGTTAAAAAGACTGATAATGGCAACATTTGTTTAATTTCTATAATACGATGATAAAAATAAATTGGGGTGACTTACTTTTAGTGATACTGGAATAAATAACACACATGGGTGTGTGTTGTGTATTTAAAGGATGGGAATTAAAGGTTTAAAGGATGAGAATGTTTCCTCAATCCTTTATTCTCATGTCTAATTCTGGCTCTGCTCTAGTCCAAAGGCTACTTTGGGAGGTCTGAATTTGCTATACCTTATCTCCAAGTCAGAGATTTTTTTGAGAGCCCCTGGTAGTTTTAGCATGAACAAGAGAGTCTTATATTTCAAACTGGATTTCTAAGCCCACCCAAAATTATTCCTGGAAAAGTCTTGTTCTGCTGGGATTCTTTGGCCTGAGATAGAGGAGGCTGAAATTCCTTGGTTGTCTTAGGTCCTCCGTGGGGACCTGAGATGGTCTGAGGTCAGTCTTGCAGTTTTAGAGCTGGGCAGGACTGTGGAGATGAGGGAATCAGGTCTCATGTTGTAGCACACAGGCATTTGCCCAGATACCTTCTCCTAAGTTTTGGACCAGACCCTGTGGAGTTGGATGTTAGTAAGAGGTGACTGCCATGTTAACATCTTTGTAGAGACCTCTGAGAAGGCTGTTTTTGCTCCTTTCTTTCTCACTTACCTTACTATTTCTCTTATAGACTTTCTGGGCAGGGCTGAAATCTCTACAAGCTTTGACAGGATTTCAAACAATAGGATCCCTGGGTTGCCAGCTAAATCCAAACAGGTCTCCTTTTCTGGAACTATGGAGGGAAAACAAAAGAGAGATTTAAAAATACCTTCTGAAATAAGAAACTGACCACCTCTTTACTGATTATTTACAGTAATATCAAGTCAGGAACTAGAGGTACAGTAACACATTAGAAGTCTGTTCTATTTGGTAGAAAGGCCATTTTGGTTACTGAGCAGACAGAATAAAATGGAATGTTAAAAATACTTCTAGTTCAGTAACTTCTATGTAAACGTAGTAACATTTTTAATACAAACATGAATTTTATGTTAATGATTACTATCTGGTTCTAGGCAAAGATTCTAGGCAAACTCCCATTCCTATAGTACTACTTATAAGAAATAACTTTTCTTTATCCTAACAATAATTCATAGCTTATAAATGAATATGTTTTCTTTTTTTTATTGCACTTTAGGTTTTGGGGTATATGTGAAGAACATGCAAGATTGTTGCATAGGTACACACGTGGCAGTGTGATTTGCTGCCTTCCTCCCCATCACCTATATCTGGCATTTCTCCCCATGCTATCTCTCCCCAACTCCCCACCCCCTGCTGACCCTCCCCTATTTCCCCCCAACAGACCCCAGTGTGTAGTGCTCCCCTCCCTGCGTCCATGTGTTCTCATTGTTCAACAACCGCCTATGAGTGAGAACATGTGGTGTTTGATTTTCTGCTCTTGTTTCAGTTTGCTGAGAATGATGGTTTCCAGGTTCATCCATGCTCTACAAAGGACACGAACTCATCGTTTTTGATGGCTGCATAATATTCCATGGTGTATATGTGCCACATTTTCCCTGTCCAGTCTATCATCGATGGGCATTTGGGTTGGTTCCAGGTCTTTGCTATTGTAAACTGTGCTGCAATGAACATTTGTGTGCATGTGTCTTTATAGTAGAACTATTTATAATCCTTTGTATATATGCCCAGTAATGGGATTGCTGGGTCAAATGGAAAAATGAATATATTTTCAAAACTGTGTATATTTGGAATCTAAAATGTATTTATCCTAGAAAACATGAATAGTGATTAACATTTCCAAGGCAGCTTGTTAAACTCATAAACAAACCATGAGAAGACTAATGACAATATTTTGACTACACCTACATATGATTTATAATCTTAGGGGGAAAATAACAGAAAAATTTGACACAGTTAGTGGAAGTAACACCTTAATTAATGCTCTCTAACCTCCGGCAGACTCTCCAGCCCTAGGACTGAGGGTAGAGGCTTCATCAGTGTGAGGAAGGTATTTTTTCAAGAACACCATACCATCAACACCCTGGATTTACATAAGAGAGTGCATTTTTCTTTTTCTGAAAAAATGTTTGATTTTTTTTTTTAATGAAAGGAATGCCTCCCAAAGTAGTAAATACACCTGGTAAAGAATTCAGATACTATAAAAGGTAGCCAAATTTCTCTACACTGGTCACTCCCTCAGTGTTCTCATTGGAGACCAAAGGGCAGCATCTTCTGCAGAAGGTGTCTGGACAGTGCAAGGGCCTGCTTGATGGAGTTAACACTGTACCAATTTGTTTAGCAAATACTGTTCTGGGGAAGCAATACAAAGTAACTCACACCTAAGGCTACATCTTCCTGACCTGTCTCCCGACTGGAAGCCTGTGAATGATGTTTGCTGTGTAGTGAGTTGTAGCTGCCCAACTGCCTTCTGTTCAGAACGTCTCTACTCACCCACTGCCTTGAGGAAGCGATTCTTATCTGTTAGCACCTTGATAAAGTCTGAGAAGTTCACCTTCCCGTCTTCTGCAACAAAAATCTGAGACTCAGGACAAGGATAAAATGTATTTTAATTATTAGAGTATATCTTAAACATAAAAATTAAAATACTCTGGATGATTTAATATTTAAAACCAGAGTATTTGAGGACTGGAAATATGCTCAGGTGAGCCCTGGTCTTCTTGAAGTGGTCTTAGCACCATTACACGAGTCCTCCACAGCCCACGGAAGCAATGGTGGCTGTAAACATCCTGCCAGGAGGACCCAGCCACTGCAGTCTGTCCAGCTGCTCCTTTCTCAGAGACTGGCCATGTTTGCAAGGAATCCACCCTCCCTTCCCATGCTATAGCCCCCTTATTATTCCTATTATAACACACCCCTAAGCTGTACCTCATTTCCTCTAAAATTGAAGGATGTTGAGTATTATTAGAGGGGTATGTGTGTGTTTCCGTGAAATAATAGAAAAATTTGACACAGTTAGTGGAAGCAGGTGATACCTTAATTAAGCGACATTGAATGACACATGAAACTGATGTTGATTGAACGGGGCACTGGCAGTTGGGTGGAGAGAGGTGAGAGGAGATAAGATGCTGAATATATTTTTCACACAGCATATCAGCTTGGGCTACTAATAATTAGGTAAGTATATTCACTCAAAATATTATCTGTATGCTTTAAAAATAACAACAAAAGTGCTGTGGCATTTAAAATTCAATATAGGTGGGACTTGATGGAAAAAATAAAGATTTGCTCTGTTTTGATTCAAACAGAAACAAAGGGCTTGAATTCTCTTGGTAACATGTCATTATTAACATTGTTAATGCCTTTGTATTTGTTATTTCAGGGCACCATCCACATACAGCTTCCATGTACATCGGGACAGGAAACCTGAATTTGATAATGAATCAGGCAATCACTCTTGGCTTCCACACAGCATTTTTCAAATAGTTCATTTTCAAGCATTAATTTGATTTCACAACTTGTACGCATACCTCACTGATGTCCTGAAAGGGACACACACACACAGATACACACACACACACGTGTGTCTCTTGAAGAATATATATGTGTGTGTATACACGGATATATATAACATACACATATATGTATATTTGTATATAGTATTCAAATATATAGTCTACAAACATAATATACATATATATTTGGAGGGGCAAATAAATAAGGTTTGTTTCTCATATTTATACAGTCATTAGAAGAAAACTATGTTTTCACAAATATCATTTATGGGAAAAACAATGAGAAGCCAAAGGACTCACGATCAATATCAGCACATTTCAATTCATTATAGACATCATGCTTGGTTAGACTCATTCCCAGCTTAGCTACAGTACACATCAGTCCATGGAAATCAATACAGCCAGTTTTGTCCTTGTTGAAGAAGTTGTAGGCATCTTGGAAAGCTGGGGAAATAGAATCAAGTTATTCACGACAGTTATTCAAGAAGAAGTACATACACTAATAGGACTAGGACAGACAATACACTTGATTGGAGATCATGTTCTAAAAAGAGGATTGAGAGAAAAATGAGTGCTTAATAGATAAAAATAACATTTCTTATAAAGGACAGTATCCTGCCATGGAACTTGAACTGGAATGAACTAATTGTTGAAAAACCAAGTGTTGGTAGGTAAGCTGGCCTTCCAAAGGTGTCCACACCCTAATCTCTTAAACCTGTGAATATGCTGTCTTACATGGCAAAAGGGACACTGGACATGTAATTAAGATAGACTATTCTAGGCTCAATTTAATTACATGATCCCTTATATAGCTAGAAGCCAGAGAGATGTGGCAGAAATCAGAGAGGTTTAGAGCATGAGAAAGACCTGACACACCAATGCTGGCTTATCAGCCAGGAACTTCTCTACCTGTTAAAGAGGCTGAGAAGCTCCTGGCTGATAAACGACAAGAAAACTGGAACGTCAGCCCTACAAGAGAAAAGAACAGAATTCTGCCAAAAATCTGAGTGAGACTGGAAGCAGATTCTCCTCTGGAGCCCCTAGATGGGAGGCCAGTCTGTCCAACATTTTAATTTCAGTCCTATAAAACACAGAGAAGAGAAATCAACTGTGCTCACTTGGACTTCTGACCTATAGAACTCTGAGATAATAAATTTGTGTTGTTTTAAACTGTTAAATTTGTGGCAATTTGTTACAGCAGCAATAGAAAAATAATTTGCCAAATTGAAGCCCAATTATATACATGTATGTGTATGTTTTGTATGGATCCAAAGTTTTTCAGAGAAATCGTCAAGGTGCTAACTGTAGCCAAAATTAGATATGTCTTTTCTAAAATTAGTGAATGAGGAAATAAACCTGGAACAAAATATATCCCAAATGACACCCAAAGAAAACTTATTTCATATCACATTCAAGTCTCAGCATCTCTATGTATAAGAGTGATTAATCCTACAGAGATAATGATACCTGCTCTATAAGTGTGTAATGTAAAAAGGTAACATCTTTCTTCTTCATAAAAGGTAGGCTTCTCTAGGGCTGGAACCAAACTGTCTCTGACTTGTTTCTTTTTCTCCCATTATCACTTGCATGTTAAGAGGCAGTCAACAAATATTGATTGCATGCTTTCCATGGACCAGTGTTGCTCCAAGTGCTTAGGATATATTAGTGCACTAAATAGACAAAGATCTGTGCCTTCATATAAATGTAATAAATAGGTAAATTAGATGCCATTTTAGAAGCTGGTATGTGCTATGGAAAAAAGAAAAAGTAATTCTGTGTGGATGATTAGGAAGAAGAGAAACAGAATTCCTCCACAGTCCCACCCCCATGTCTGCTTCCTGACCAGCACCTGTACGTGCACAGTCTGCCTTTCTCTCTGCGCTGCAGAGAAACTGGATGCTCTCACCTAGAGCCAATCCCTCTCTTGTGGATTGGAACTCATCCCCTCTCTCATATTAAAGGAATTTACCTAAAAAAAGGGTCCCCTCTTAGGTAAGGGAAATACCATTTTTTCATTTTCTATTATATCAATCCTATAGATTATTTCTCCCTTAAAAAGTACATTGTGACCTCATTTCCCCCTCCAGTTATTGCAACCTCTGCCATTTGTTTCTTTTTCTATTAAAAATTTAGTCATTTATTTCTATCAGTGTGGACTCATGGATGTTTATTTTATACTTTGGGCTATAATCCAATTCTACATTATTAATTTTTATTGCTCAAATAGAAAAAGTTGATAAAAGACAGGGCATATGGCTACAGAGCATATGGCTGGTAAGGAGGTAGAAATGGAGGTGAGAGTTTATGGAAATTCTGTTCTGATTGCTTCAGTTTTCCTCAGGAAAGTAGGGAAACCAATGACAGTGAGGATGGGAGATGCTGGGGATTTTGAAGTGTTCAATAACTATTTGTAGAATGAACAAATTAACCTCTCACAGGAAAGTTGTGAGGATTAAGTGCTGTAATGAACACATTTTCTAGCTTCCATATTTGATGTTTTGCTATCTGGGGCCTTGCTGGTCCTGGAGGGACTGCTCCTCTCAGGGCTGGTCAATTCCTACAGATAGTAACTACTAGCTTGTGAGTATGCCTTTCCTCTGCAAATCATCCCATTCCATAGACCATATTCCAGAGACCATATCCTCAGCCACTTGCCTTCTCCACCTCTTACAGTCAGAGTCACTATTTCCCTGCCCTAGTCATCCCAGGGCTAGGTACCAGACAACCAGAGATAGCCCTTGCATGCTAGAGCCCACTGAAATTGTTCAAACTAGCTAACCCCACACTTGCTTACCCTGCCTTGTCCATTCCTTTTCGTGGAAACCACAGTAGAGGTTCTTGTCCACATGCTGCCCCTGCCCACCTGCTGACTGACCCTGGTTCCTCCTCTTGTGGCCCTACATGCATGGCAAGCTATGCCCTGTTTCTAGGGATCTGTGAGTATGAAAACTTCCTTCATGACCATCATTTTTGTGCCTGCATGTCTCACCATATCTGACTGAAACAGATTCCTTAAAATGAGTACCAAAGTACCTTAAGACACTTTAGAAACCTTAAAGGTCTATAAAACTATAAGCTGTTATTATTAAGGCATTTAGCTCAGTTATATAATGAAAAATGCCAACCTGATCATGGCAATCTTTTGTGTTTCCCAGCAATAAAGGTTGATTGATTGTAGAATGAACCAATTAACCTCTTGTAGGAAAGTTGTGAGGATTAAGCACTGTAAAGAACACATTTTTCAGTTTTCATATTTGATGTTTTGATATCTAGAGCCCTGCTGGCCCTGGAGGGACTGCCCCTTTCAGGGCTGGTCAAGGTCGATTGATTCTTTGATTCATTTCTGTCTTCTGGGTCAATTTCTAAATTTAGGGGAGTAAAGCATGAGCCTCTCCAGAAACCAGACACAACTGAAACACAGCCACACTTGACTTCTTTGAGTTTTTCTAGTGCATCGTCCTTTCCCTTTTCTCTGGCCTTTGTAGATTCTGTTCTTTCTTCCTGGAACACTCTGTGCTCTTTGCTTGATTTACTCCTATTCAATAATCACCATTCTCTGGGACTCCCCTTCTTCCCTCACAAGACCGAATTAGGAGACTTTCCTTTATGCTCCTATTATATTCCATACTTTTCCTATCATAACTTGTGTTATATTGTAATTTATACGATATATTCAGCAAATTCATGGCCTTTTTTTTTTTTTTTTTTTGAGATGGAGTCTCACTGTTGCCTAGGCTGGAGTGCAGTGGCATGATTTTGGCTCACTGCAACCTCCGCCTCCTAGGTTCAACCAATTCTCCCTGCCTCAGCCTCCCAAATAGCTGGGATTACAGGTGTCTGCCACCAAGGCCAGCTAAGTTTTGTATTTTTAGTATAAATGGGGTTTCATCATGTTGGCCAGGCTAGTCTCAAACTCATGACCTCAGGTGATCCATCCTCCTCAGCCTCCCAAAGTGCTGGGATTATAGGCATGAGCCACTGTGCCTGGCAAGTTCATGGTTTGGACCACGTCTGACTTGTTTTGTTATGTTTCTCATGCCTAGTCCATTTTTGGCATTAAATAAATATTTGTTGTTTGGATGAATAAACTTTAGCCAGTGTAGCTCATTTTATCATTATATTTTTTTCTTTGAGAAATCCTAGGACTGTAGCTATGTTTTTGTTCTTTATTACTTTATTTATTTATTTATTTTTTTGAGACAGAGTTTCACTCATTACCCAGGCTGGAGTGCAATGGCACGATCTCGGCTCACCGCAACCTCCGCCTCCTGGGTTCAGGCAGTTCTCCTGCTTCAGCCTCCTGAGTAGCTGGGATTACAGGCATGCGCCACTATGCCCAGCAAATTTTTTGTATTTTTAATAGAGACGGGGTTTCACCATGTTGACCAGGATGGTCTCGATCACTTGACCTCATGATCCACCCGCCTCAGCCTCCCAAAGTGCTGGGATAACAGGCGTGAGCCACCGCGCCCAGCCTATTACTTGATTTATATTTGTTCTTTTTGAATTTATTCTTTTCCACACCCACAAGTTCTTCTTTGAATACAAATATTTGACCAGGACTGCTTAAATTCTAAGGAGATGTCCATTTAAAAGCAATTTCCCTCTAGTCTCACAAAAATTTCCTTTCTCTCAAATGATGATGGTGTAGACAACCCTTGAAATCTCAGATCTTTCTTAGAGAAGAAAGCATCAGACATATTAAGGAGCTGTTGTTTCTGCTTCAGTTTTGAGGATGATTCTCATTACCTGCCATTTGTGAAGCATTTAACTTCTTTTCTGTGTGTTTTAACTGGCATTGAGGAGATCCTGGCAAGTCTTTATCCCTGAAGAAAGATAGGAAAATGTTTAGTTTTACTACATATGTGAAACCAGCAGATATTAGTCCTACTCATCAGTTTTTGCTTAATGGAATGACTGTAGCATCTCAATGTATCCAGTCTATCTGAAGGGATATTTTATTTAGGATAGCCAATAGCTACAGGATGAACAGTGAGAAAATGTTGGCCACTGAGATCCACCTCTGCCCTAAACTTGCCCATCACCCCTCCCTTAAAAAATTATAATTTCAGGCCAGCCATGGCAGCTCATACCCATAATCCTTGCTGTGTGAGAGATCAAGGCAAGAGGATCACTTGAGCCCAGGGGTTCAAGACCAGCTTGGGCAACATAGCAAGACCCTGTCTCTACAAAAAAAAAAAAAAAAAAAAATTAGCCAGCGTGGTGGCACAGGCTTGTAGTCCTAGCCACTCAGGAGGCTGAGGTGGGAGGATTGCTTGTGCCTGGGAGGTCGAGGCTGCAATGAGTCATGACTGCACCACTACACTCCAGCCTGGGTAACAGAGCGAGACCCTGTCTCAAAAAAAAAAAAATAGCAGTTATGATTTCCCCCATTTTACAAAATAGGAAACCGAAGCTCAGAGCAATTAAATAATTTGTCCCAGGCTATACAGATAGTAAATGGAAGATCTGAGATTCAAACCTAGATTTGTCTGATTCCAAAAATCAAGGCCATATTGCTTTACATTATTCTCGTTGTTAGAAATAGAAGTTGTTTCAATTTTCTTTTCTGGCTCCAACTCTCAGCCTTGAGTTTCAAATTTTAAACCAGTATAAACACTGTTGTGTTGAATACCCTTATAGAGAAACTTTTCCATCTATGACTATTTTACAATTTTTTTTTTTGAGATGGGGTCTCACACTGTGGCCCAGGCTGGAGTGCAAGTGGCAGGATCTCAGCTCATTGCAACCTCCACCTCCTGGGTTCAAGCGATTCTCCTGCCTCAGGATCCTGAGTAGCTGGGATTACAGGCGCCTGCTACTGTGCCCAGCTAATTTTGTATTTTTAGTAGAGATGGGGTTTCACAGTGTTAGCCAGGCTGGTCTTGAACTCCCAACCTCAAATGATCCACCTGCCTCGGCCTCCCAAAGTGCTGGGATTACAGATATGAGCCACTGAGTCTGGCCTTACAACTTTTTTTTTTTAAACTTTTATAACTATTTTACAAATGTCAAATTGTATTTTTACTAGCATATGTATGTGTGTGTAAGAGAGAGAGAAATATAGAGAATACTTCTGAAAAGTTTGAAACCCTGGGTGACCTTTCACTTACTCAGGAAAGTAAAATCTGGAAAAGGCAGAAACATATTAATACTTTCAAGATACTTTGTACAGATCTAAAGTAGTTTTTTAGTTTAAGAACACAAAAATACGTCATGCAAAACTGGGTTTGCTTATAATATTGTTAAATAAACTTTAATTACATTTAAATAAATATAATTTAACTGCAAAATTTAATAATGACCAACTTTATAAATGTATTTAAAGTGTCTTTAGTTTTGATACTTGTAGAACTAAAAGTTTAAAAAGTATGAACTCTCACAGTTTTGTGGCTTTATAAGAAGCAGTTTAAAAAGTAAAACTAGAAGAATTACTAAACATTATAGTTAAACAAAAAATTATTATGGTTGATTAATTTAGTAACCCCTAAAGTACTTATTAGATTCAACTAATTTTCAAAGAGGGGACTGGGAGAAAGGGAGGTGATAGTATCAAAACTGTTCTTAACTTTTGAAAGTGGAATTTTATCTAACTTGTCTTATGCACTCATCTTTTACTAACATTGACTTCTTCTTCAGGTGCTTCCTCTTCTAACCTACTTGAATTTCTTTGCTTTTTCTTTCTCTCATTCTTTCAAGACAAAGCCTCCCTCTGTGGTCCAGGCTGGAGGGCAGTGGTGTGATCGTGGCTCACTGCAGCCTTGACCACCCAGGCTCATCTCAGCCTCCCGAGTAATTGGAACCGTAGGTGTATGTTAACATGCCCAGCTAATTTATTCATTTTTTTGAGATGGAGTCTCGCTCTGTTGCCCAGGCTGGAGTGCAGTGGCACAATCTTGGCTCACTGCAACCTCCGCCAAGCGATTCTCCTGCCTCGGCCTCCTGAGTAGCTGGGACTACGGGTGCATGCCACCACACTAGGCTATTTTTTTTTTTTTTTTTTTTTTTTTTTTTTAGTAGAGACCAGGTTTCACCACGTTAGCCAGGATGGTCTTGATTTCTTGACCTGTCCACCTCGGCCTCTTTAAGGGCTGGGATTACAGGCATGAGCCACCGTGCCCAGCCTAATTTTTTATTTTTTCTAGAGATGAGGTCTCCTTATGTTGCTTAGGCTGGTCTTGAACTGTCAGGCTCAAGTGTTCCTCCCCCCTCTACCTCCCAAAGTGTTGGGATTACAAGTGTGTGCCACTGTGTCCAGCTTGTAATTTCTGAAGCTCAGGTTTGCCCTTACTCAAATAGGTTATTTTATATTTATTGTAAAGATGTTCCTTGATTCATGATGGGGTTACAACCTTATAAACCTATCGTGAGTTGAAAATACTGTAAACTGAAAATGCATTTTATTTACCTAACCTACATAGCTTAGCCGAGCCTACCTTAAATGTGCTCAGAACACTTACATTAGCCTACAGATGGGAAGAATCACCTAGCACAAAGCCTATTTTGTAATAAAGTGTTGAATACCTCTATTTTATAATAAAGTGGTGTAATTGACTACTGTACTGAAAGTGAAAAACAGAATGATTGTATGTATTTGAAGGAGAGTTTCTACTGGATGCATATTACTTTTGTAAAAGTCAAAAAATGGGCTCAGTGGCTCACTCCTGCAATTCCAGCACTTTGGGAGGCCAAGGCAGGCAGATTACGAGGTCAGGAGTTTGAGACCAGCCTGGCCAACATGGTGAAACCTTGTCTCTACTAAAAATAAAATAAAAATTAGCTGGGTGTAGTGGCGTGCACCTGTAGTCCCAGCTACTCAGGAGGCTGAGGCAGGATAAATCGCTTGAACCTGGGAGGCAGAGGTTGCAGTGAGCCGAGATTGTGCTACTGCACTCCAGCCTGGGCAACAGAGTGAGACTCTGTCTCAAAAGAAAAAAAACAAAAGCAAAAAGCAAAAATGGTAAGTTGAACCATTAAGTTGGAGACCATCTGTATTTCTAAATATAAACAAATTTCTTTTGCATGATATAAAAGATGCAGTAGATGGAGAAATATTATATTCTCAAGAAAGAGAAAAGTAGAATTCAAGGCAGTGTAAAGTTTTTTTATTTTTTGAGACAGGGTCTTGCTCTATTACCCAGGCTGAAGTTCAGTGGTGCAATCTCAGCTCACCCCAACCTCCGCCTCCTGGGCTCAAGCAATCCTCCCACCTCAGACTCCTGAGTAGCTGGGACTACAGGTGGGCACCACCACACCCAGCTAATATTGTATCTTTTTTTGGTAGAGGCTGGTCTCAAATTCCTGGGCTCAAGTGATCCACCCGCCTTGGCCTCCCAAAGTGCTGGGATTAGATGTGAGCCACCATGCCTGGCCAGGCAATGTAAAGTTCTTATTACCTGTCTTTAAAAAGGCACTCTTGGAACAATATCAAACCTTACCTTGGATCAAACATTAGAGAAATACTTAATTTTATAAAGTTTCAAATGACTGAAGAACCTTGCATTTGGAAGGAACCCAATCCAGCCTCTCATCTACTGGAGGAATTCCCATTATATGTAGTATTGCCTAGTTTTTGCTTAACTACTTTCAGTGACAAGGAACTCACTTCCTCAAAAGATAGCTTGCATAGTCAATAACATTAAGAAAGATACACTCAAAATAGAAAGTAAATGTTAGGTGATTGAGAAAAAGCTATTGTTAATGTTAAGGCAAATCTCCCTTCCCAATTTTAGCCCAGGGTCAGTCATGGCTAATTTACCAGCTTTCATTTACTAGCTACATTTGGAATACAGACCCTTTTTCTATCTATAGTTTAACTTGCTTATGGGTTTAGGTCTTCTTTATGATCTTCCAACTTTTTTCTTCTTTAAACTGACACTCAAAATATCTCAAGGCATAACTGATAACTCCTTGAGCCCCTTAGGGTATTCTGTATCCTAACATAAAAACTGCTTCTCCTTTGAGAGGACAGGAGGGAGAATTCTGCTCTTCCAATCAAAAAGGATGTGTATCTTTTTCTTTCCATAAAAAAAATTTCTCTTCAATTCCAATGTTTTGTTTTATAACTAAATTTATATAATAAATACTTAGAGTATTTTAATTGTTTCATCATAATCTTTATGAGTATTTAATATATTAATAATCTTAATAATGATATATTTTTAGGAGCTTCCCAGTAAAGACTGGAACACCTGCTAGACAAAATTCTAAGAGTGGTAACACTAATAATTCTTTATCATAATACATTTATCACCCTTAATACATTCATTACCTACCTTTTACTGTGGGAGATGGGTACTTTTGTTAAAGGATTCAGCTTAAGTTTTGATTTAATTTCTGAAACTGCCATGTGGCCAGTGACTCGGTCTGGAATTCAGAATATACAATTAAGAAATTAGTTTACAGATTAATTTTTTACATTCTTTTGCAACTTTTCAGCTCAAAGCCTGGAGTTTGAAAAGTCCAGGACCTCAAGGAATGGTAATACATGCAAACTCAAGTTAGAGGTGTGTATAAAGTTGGAAGGCAATGTGGAAAGGCCCCTTTGTTGTTCCCAGATTTCCAAGCAAAGTTGCTTGTCACTGTTCCCCTTTCAATTAGTGTCACTCTGATCCTATGTAAAATTAAATGCTAAGCAAAATAAACTGGACACAAAAAGACCAATGCTATATGATCTAACTAATATGTGTAATCTAAAATAGTCAACCTCATAGAAGCAGAGAGTAGAATGGTGGTTGAGGAAGGAGATATGGGGAGATGTTGGTCAGTGATACAAAGTTTGAAGATGGATTCTGAAGATCTAACAAACAGCATCGTGACCATAGGTAACTATGTGAAAAAAACTATGTGAAGTGATTGATGTATTAATTAGATTGGTCGTGGTGATTATTTCACAATGTATATATCTGTTAAATATGTATACATTAAATAATAAAAATGGTGCCATGTGACAAAGATAATGAGCATTCTGGAAATATATGGAAAAAGTTATTTAAAGACACTATTTTATTATGAAATCAGTAGAATATTTCAAGTCATAATTGACAAAGAATAAAATAATACAGCATTTCTAAAGTATTTGCCTACTTGTTTACATCTTAGATGCCTGCCTAGTAATAAGTAGATTTTCCCAGGGCTTCTTTTTGGGAGACCCATCCCTGTTCTGTCACTTCTTGGGAACCAACTGTTTTTTTGTTTGTTGTTGTTTTTTAGATGTGTAAAAAGGCTTTATTTGGAGGGGAGCAGGAGTTTAAACAAAGAGGTCAAATCCCGTGTCATCCTCTGACTCTTTGGACACTCCTCCTCATCTTCTCCTCTGCTGCATCGGGGGTGGAACCAGCAGCAGGAGCTGCAGAGCCTGGGGCAGCAGAGACAGCCACAGCCCCACCGGCAGGTACACTGGCAAGCTTGCCAATACCCTGGGCAATGACATCTTCGATGCTTTTTCCATTCAGCTCACTGATAACCTTGTTGAGCTGGTCGTCGTCCGCCTTAATGCCTACGCTGTCCAGGATCCTCTTGTCCTTGGCGCTGGGGGAGGGGTTGCCTCCGAGGGCAGCAAGCAGGTGGGAGACGACGTAGCACATCGGAGCGGCAGCGGCGGTGGCGGAGGCCTCCATGCGTGCGACCTCGGCGGATTCAGGGAGGAAGAGCCCAACTGGTCTTGGTTAACAGTAGGAATGGGGGTGGGATACAATGTAGTTCTGCTACCCTAGACTCCGGAATGAACTCGTTAATCACCGCTGCCTCCCTAGTCCTCCATTTCCACTTGGCATAGTCTGATAAACAGGGCTTATTTATGGACCAGAAGCTGGGGTGGTAGGGCTTCCCCCTTTGTTGCTCTTTTCTTTCCAACTATCTTTTCAAAATGTGGAGTGTATTTGACAGTTCACTGACAAGAAAACTAGGTTGCTGACTTAGGAATAATGGACAATCGAATACTATTCAATCACGAGGAAAAAAATCTCTGAATGTTTGGTTAGAATTTGATCCATTTTCCCAGGTCTTCACCTCAGAGCCCAGAAAGCATTTGTTTCTAAACAACTCAATTACAAGTCCTCAAAATCTGAAAACCTACCACAGAGCTGGCAACTCCAGAGAGGCTCAACAATTCAGGCACTTGAAAGACGCTGTGACATCATCCCCATGCCTCAAAATAATCATTACTTTAAAAAAAACCTTCGTTTCTCATAGATTATAGATTTTTTTTTTAAAAAAAGACTTAGCATAGAATCCTATAAAATCCTGATATTTACCTACTTTTAAGCCGTGCTACTTACCACTTCTGGGCTTCAATCAGATCAGGAATCCAGTAAAGGGTTTGTTCCATCACACAACTGTGACCTCATTCACTGCTCAGGCTCAGGCCCAGGGAGAGAATGACCCAGGAGCTACTTCCAACCTGACAGCAAGCATGTTTTCAATGTGGTTCTTTCAGCACCCTTGGTGTATATGAGGGTGTGATTTATAAAATCTGAACATTTTGACATTGTTGGGATTTCAAGGAAGGGGAATAATTTTTCTTTCAATTTCTATATTAACATATTTTCATGTTAATATCATCATCAGGCTGGGAGTGGTGGCTCAAGCTTGTAATCCCAGCACTTTGGGAGGCTGAGGCAGGCAGATCACTTGAAATCAGGAGTTCAAGACCAGCCTGGCCAACATGATGAAACCCTGTCTCTACTAAAAATACAAAAATTGGCTGTGCATGTTGGCGCACACCTGTAATCCCAGCTACTTGGGGGGCTGAAGCAGGAGAATCATTTGAACTCAGGAGGCAGAGGTTGAAGTGAGCTGAGATTGCGCCACTGCACTCCAGCCTGGGTGACAGACTCCATCTCAAAAAAAAAAAAAAGTCTTCATCAGTCAATTGAAGGTTGTTCAGTTAAAATATTTCACTCAGCTGCTTTCACTGCATGGTGATTAAGAATCATTTCATTAATTGTTTAAGCCTAGAAAGAGAGGCAAAAAACCTCTCATAGGCTTGTAATCTTTGCTATTATTGGGAAAAGTGATTTCAAAAGAGCAATTACAGAAGACTGTTTTAAGTAGAAACCAAGGTATGTATGATCTGATGTGTCTCATGGCATTGTAAATTCTCTAGCATAGGAGTTAGGAGTGTCTTTAGTCTATCATGGCTAAGCACAGATATCTCTGGCACCCAAGGCTTAGCTAGTTATGTAGTTGGGCCTACATTCCCAGAATGGGAATAGGAAACCTCTAGAATTGTTCATTATGAGCATAATTTGACTTTAACCTAGTATTTTTAAACTTAGTACACTGCCTATCATTCTGGCCAGGAACACACAGGGAAAGAAAGGTAAGGCTTAATTTATAAATTAATTCAATAGTTATTTACCAAGAGCCTACTATATTAAAAGCGATTTTTCTTTTTTGAGGTGAGGTCTCACTCACTATGTTGCCCAGGGTTGAGTGCAGTAGCAGGATCATGGTTCACTGCAGCCTCAATCTCCTGGGCTCAAGTGATTCTTCCACCTCAGCCTCCCCAGTAGCTGGGACTACAAGGTGCGGGCTACCATGCCCAACTAATTTTTTGTATTTTTGGTAGAGATGAGGTTTCACTATATTGCTCAAGCTGGCCTTGAAATCCTGGCCCCCACCAATCTCCTTGGCCTCCCAAAATGCTGGGATTACAGGCAGGAGCTACTGTGCCCAGCCCTATTGTTGTGTTACAGCATTCTTTATATATTTTGGAGACTAGATCCTTATCAATTATACCATTTACAAATATTTTTTCCTATTCTGTGGGTTGTCTTTTTACTTTATTGATAGTGCCCTTTCAACCACAGAAGTTAGACCTGGAATTTTAAATGTCCTTTTGTTGGTCTTGGAATTTTAAAGCTGAAAGATAATAGATCATCAACTGAATTCAGCCTACTGCATTTTTTGAAAGAGACAGGTTCTTGCTCTGTCGCTCAGGCTGAAGTGCAGTGGTGCAGTGATGGCTCATGCAGCCTCCAATTCCTAGGCTCAAGAAATCCTCCCACTCAGCTTCCTGAGTAGCTAGGACTATAGTAGGCAAGTGCCACCACATCTGATTAATTTTAAAATTTTTGTAGAGAGGGAGTCTTGCTGAGTTGCCAGGCTGGACTCATACTCCTGGCTTCAAGTGATCTTCCTGCCTTGGCCTCCCAAGGCTCTAGGATTACAGGTGTGAGTCAGTGCTCCAGGTCCTCACCTATTTTATTTTACTGCTAAGGACACTAAAGCCCAATTAACTGAATTAATTTCTTTAATGGCGGAGTCAGAAATACCTGCTTTGTAAATTACACTGTGATACCAGGTAGGTTACAGTGTTCTTAGAAGTTAAAAAAAATCACAAATGGAGCATTAGAAAAGAATATAAATATGTGAGAATCACATGTGATTCAGTGTGGTGTGGACTATAAAGGCATGGGAACTTAGAAAGACAGTTGGAGAGATAATGGTGTTCATTCACCTTATGGACAAGTAGATGGAGTACAGAAACTGACAAGACAAATAGGGAAAGTAACCATGGGATTAAAAAATATACGTCAAAGTATTAAGCCCCATCTTTACAATGGCTTCACATCAGGTTTCACACTCACCTTTCATGTCATTTGCAGTTTTCAACTTAGGTAGAGTCGCTATTCCTTTTGCTTAAATAAAAGATTAAGAATCAAAATTACATAAATTTCTGATGTTATGGAAAGTAGAATAGGAGGGCATAATTTGTCTTATTTTTTTCCCCAAGTGAGTGAAAAAATTAAGAAAATGTCAAAGATATATGGGATATCCATCTTCATTCATATTGTTTCTTTTGGTGCCTTAATGCATTACACTCCAAAAGCAAAAACTGAAAAGCACTAATTCAGTCAGCATCGAAATTAAGACTATTCATTTATCATCTTTTAGGATGTAAAGAAGTGAAATGACTTTGAAAATCTGTTGATTGAGGAGGAAGATGATCTCTTACCCATTTTTTTTTTTTTGAGAAAGGGTCTTACTCTGTTGCCCAGGCTGGAGTGCAGTTGGCATGATCTCAGCTCACTGCAACCTCTGCCTCCTGGGTTCAGGTGATTCTTCTGCCTTAGCTTCCTGAGTAGCTGGGACTACAGGGATGTGCCACCATGCCGGCAAATTTTTTTGTATTTTTAGTAGAGATGGGGTTTCACCATGTTGGCCAGGCTGGTCTTGAACTCCTGACCTTGTGATCTGCCTGCCTTGGCCTCCCAAAGTGCTGGGATTACAGGCATGAGCCACTGCGCCCGGCCTCTCTTATCCATTTCATTTTCATTAATGCTTTGTTTAGGAAGGTATTGACTAATTAGTTACCTTTTAATGATATAGATATTTCTTTCTAGTGAATTATCCTATGAAATATGTGGGTATAATATATATCATAATTAACTCACTGCAAAATCTTCCTTTACCCCACCCCTTTCCATGGCCAGAACAAGCAACTATTAAGTACAGATTTAACTCTTTTTCTTTTCTTTCCTCTCAAAATGTGGAGTAGTTTTGTTTTCTAAGCATGAGGAGATTAATTCTCAGAAGAAAAGTGTGGATATAATAACTCAGTTTCCTATACTTGGTTTGGTTTGGCCTGGCCAGATAAACCAATAATGTATTATTTTAATATCAAAAAAGGTCCGTGGCAGATTATGAAAACATGGAAACATGGAAAATGTTTGGCGATACCTTTACGTTATAGAGGCTATATAAGGTGATATGCAATGCAGAAAGCAGTACATATAAAGAAGAAATATTTCTCCTATGGGGAAAGGATTAACTCCAATATAACACACATTATGTTTTCTTAATTAATAAAAATTAAAATTAATTTTCTTAATTCTGTAGAATTAAGAAAAATCTACACCTGTGAAGCACCTTTTCGTTCTCTGCCTCTGATCTGTCACTCTCTCTCTCCCTATTGCTTGGCTCTTCTCCCTTCCTGGATATTAATTTGCAAGAGGCACCCTATGCCATTCTCAGATATTGCATGTGACAACATTCTGGTTGAGAATGTGACTTAGAAGATGACAAGAAGCAGACTTTATTTTTATACAGTAACTTTTTTTCCCCTACATGTATGTTAGATTTTCTCTGTGCCCCTAGTAAGTACAGTTTTAGAAATTCTCATGTGGTACCTTACAACCCAAGTGCCTCTGAAGGCCAGAGTGGAGCTCTGAATGTTCACCACCAAATAACAGAAATTTTAACAGGCCTTGAAGTTGTTAATATATGATTGTTATTTTCATGTTATCATTCTTAGGTAGCTGAAATTCACCTTTGTTCTTTAGAAAGTAGAAATAAATGACACTTGATTATGACAGCAAAAAAAAAGAAAGTAGAAATGGTGAAATGGAAATTGGAGAAAAAGATATTTAAGTGTGAAAAATGACATTGCCCTTATGTCTATGTCTAATTATCTGAAATTGGGGTGTGAAGACTTAAATCATAATAGTACATTTGAAGGCAAATGTGTCAAGATGGCATTAAGAAATAAAATTTGTTCCTTAATACATATGTATAAAACTTTTTTTTCTTTTTTGAGATGGAGACTTGCTTTGTTGCCCAGGCTGGAGTGCAGTAGCTTGATCTCAGCTCACTGCAATCTCCGCCTCCTGGGTTTAAGTGATTCTTCTGCCTCAACCTCCCAGGTAGCTGGGACCACAGGTGCGTGCCACCAGGCCCAACTAATTTTCAAATTTTTAGTAGAGACGGGTTTTCACCATGTTGGTCAGGCTGGTCTCGAACTTTTGACCTTGTGATCCACCCACCTCAGCCTCCCACAGTGCTGGGATTACAGGCGTGAACCACTGTACTCAGCCAAAAAACTTTATAAGTGAAAATGGAGTATTACTATGTGAATCTTTGAAATAGAAACCAGTATTTGAAATTTCTAAAAATATGAAACGTACTTTAAAACATCTAAATTTTCTTTAAGGCCCTGGAGACTTCACATAATAAAAAATATTGCAGTGGCAGCAGGTGGATTGGGGTTTATGAAGTGAAGAAAGCACGTGGGTGAGCTGGGTAGCCATGTGGAATGCATATGTTTGATAGAGAGACTGGAAGAAAAAGGAAGAATAACATTAGAAAAACAAGGGGAAGCTGGAGCAAAAGCAAAAATATATTTTTAGAGAAATGGAGAAGATAATAAAAGGAAAAAAGAAGTGGAAGAGGAGAAAGAAGAATAATAGAAAAGTAAGCAAAGAGATCTGTAGTGTTGTGCCTTCATGGCTTTATTATACATGGTTAACAGACAATTCTGATATGGATGACTCACCTATGTTACCTGGGGTTAGTTTAACAGAACTGTTTGTTCTGAGGTGCCCAGATAGGAGGGATTATCTTAAGAATGACCTTGATACAGCCGCTTTGGTTAGTGAAACTTCAATTGTCTTTTTTTTCCCCCTTCCCTCCCTGAAACTTCGATTATCTAAAAGCAGGAGACTAGAATCTCTATCAGATTTCCCAGATTAGAGGTAAAAATTAACTTTTGTGAGAGTGGGAACCTTGCTTTATCTTCTGCTAATTACTAAACTTTCTTGAACAGTGTCTGGGTGCTCAAAAATACTTACTGATGAACACAGAACTTATACATGGTCATGGGAGGTTGTTTCCAGTATCTCCAGTTAGCAGCATGATTTTAAATGCTGGGATAAAAACCACCAAGTCAACGTTCCTTAAAGTTTTCTGGCACCACCAACAAAAGCAGCAATAGATGGGATAGACTGGACTTATTAAAAGGTATATATATTTTTCTTTTACAAATCAAATACAACAGGACTAATTTGGAAATGTTAGGCATAGGTACCCAGAATTTAAATTTATCTTCTATCAAAATTCATTTTGTGGATACCTGCATAACATACCTTAAATTATTCTTACAGCCTCCCTTTTTTTTTTTCTTTTTAGAGAAAAGGTCTTGCTTTGTCACCCAGGCTGAAGTGCGGTGGTGCAATCATAGTTCACTGCAGCCTCAACCTCCTGGGCTCAAGTGATCCTCCAACCTCAGCCTCCTGTGTAGCTGGAACTACAAGTGTATGCCACCATACATAGCTAATTTTTGTATTTTTGTGTAGAGATGGGGTTTTGCCATGTTGCCCAGGCTGCTCTCCAATTCCTGGCATCAAGCAATCTGGCCGCTTTGGCCTACCAAAGGGCTGGGATTACAGACATTAGCGACCATGCCTGGCCACATCCTCCTTTTTGAAACACAGTCAGGCTTTCAGAGACACACCAAATTTCTTTTTTGTCACACTTGTTGGGAAATGCAGATGCAGAGAAAAAATAAAAATTATTTTAAAATGAATTCAAGATTGAGGTTGTATGTGTGTGGGAAGAGGGCAGAGACATGTTTTATCTTGCCTCTGTTGATCAATTTCACAGCATAATGTTCATATCTCCCATTCATCCTTTCTGTGCAAGCATGGAACATGGTATTTTGACAATAAGAAACTTATTTTAGAAATATTAAATATAAGGGACCTACAAACAAAAAGTGCTGAGATTATGTATTAAATTTCAGAGGCATCCAGAAAGGAACTTTAGATCATTAGCTATATTTATTTATTTTTTGAGATGGAGTATCTTTCTGTTTCCCAGGCTGGAGTGCAATGGTGCAATCTGAGCTCACTGCAACTTCCACCTTCCAGGTTCAAGTGATTCTCCTGCCTCAGCCTCTTGAGTAGCTGGGACTACAGGCCCACACCATGGTGACCGATTAATTTTTGTAGTTTTAGTAGAGATGGGGTTTCACTATTTTGGCCAGACTGGTCTCAAACTCCTGACCTCAGGTGATCCACCTGCCTTGGGATCCCAAAGTGCTGGGATTACAGGCATGAGCCACCATGCCTGGCTTAGCTATATTTATAAACAAGTAAGATTTTAATATGAGTAAGAAAATGGAATGTAAGTACATTGGATATAGATTAAAATGCACAAAATTATGTACACATAAGGAAAAAATTTGTGGTGATAAAATTATGGATTATCATTGGAGGACAATTAAGAATTATTAAAATTTCCCTTTTTTCTTTTTGTTTGCTAAATATAGGAATTTTCTAGCCAGGCGTAGTGGCTCATGCCTGTAATCCCAGCACTTTGGGATGTGAAGGCAGGCAGATCATGAGGTCAGGAGTTCAAGACCAGCCTGGCCAATATGGTGAAACCCCATCTCTACTAAAAATATAATAATTAGCCGGGCATGGTGGCATGTGCCTGTGGTCCCAGCTACTTGGGAGGTTGAGGCAGAAGAATTGCTTGAACCTGGGAGGTGGAGGTTGCAGAGAGCTGAGATTGTGCCACGGCACTCCAGCCTGGGCAACAGAGCAAAAAAAAAAAATTTCTATAATGAACATGTATTACTTTTATAACCAAGAAAACACATATAAAAATATATAGCATCAGTTTAAAATTTTATATTGTATCATAAAATTTCACTTACGTTTGAACTTCTTCAGACCCTCCATTATTGAATTAACATTAAACTTTCCATTTCCTGTAAAATATTTTGGTTCAGATACAGAAGCATTCACATAAAAATTCATAAAGTTGTAAAATTATTAAAAACAATGTATTTGGCTATAATTTCTTCCATGAGTTAGAAGAACTAGAAACATTGGTTTGCTTTGGAATTTGGATTCATTTTTCTGTCCTGTGAATATGATGGAAAAAAAAGATGAATTTTGTTTTGACTCTGTCTGGCTCTGTCCTTCAGGCTGGAGTGCAGTGGTGTGATTATGGCTCTTTGCAGCCTTGACTTCCCTGGCTCAAGTGATCCTTCCACCTCAGCCTCCTGAGCATCTGGGACTGCAGGTGTGTGCCATCATACCCAGCTCATTATTTTTTTTTTTTTTTTTTGTAGAGATAGGGGGTCTCCCTATGTTGCCCAGGCTGGTTTTCAACTCCTGGCTTCAAGTAATCCTCACACCTTGGCCTCTCAAAGTGTTGGGATTTCAAGTGTGAGTCACTGTGCTTGGCAGGGATGAATCTTTAAAAGAGACACCTATCTCTACTTTTTTTTTTGAGGCAAGGTCTTGCTCTATCTCCCAGGCTGGAGTGCAGTGGTGCGATCTTGGCTCACTGCAACCTCTGCCTTCTGGGTCCAAACAATTCTCGTGACTCATCCTACCAAGTAGCTGGAATCACAGGCATGTGCCACTATACCCAACTAATTTTTATATTTTTAGTAGAGATGGGGATTTGCCATGTTGGCCAGGCAGGTCTCAAATTTTTGGCCTCAAGCAATCTACCCACTTCAGCCTCCCAAAGTGCTGGGATTACAGGCATGCGCCACCATGCCTAACCCTATACTTTTTAAAAAGCAGTTCATCTTTTCTGTGCTCTAGGAGATTGTATTAATCAAAGAACAAAAGTAAGAAGGACTAGGGTATTCTGAGGGAACTGTGGGCAGTTCAGTTGGTTTGGAGCATGACATGTTGGAAGTAGTGGAGGAGAAAGCTGAAAAGTACATGGGATCTGTGTTGCAGTGGGTTTAGTTTGGACTTTTTTTGGGAACACAGGAAGGAGTCATGGAGGCTTCTGACCATTACTATGTAAAGATTGATCTGAAGGCAATCTGCCTTCAGTTGGAGTTGGAGACCAGACTGGGCAACATTGTGATACCCTGTCTCTACAAAAAATGCAAAAATTAGCTGGGCGTAGTGGTGTGTTTCTGTAGTCCCAGCTACTTTGGAGGCTGAGGTAGGAGGACAGTTTGAACCCAAAAGACGAAAGTTGTAAGGATGAGCCCAGGAGCTGATATCGTGCCACTGCACTCCAGCCCGGGAGGCAAAGCCAGACCCTGTCTCAAAAACAAAAAACAAAATCTCTTCAACTGAAGAGAGGAGAGGAAGAAAATATAGGCAAATAGGAAGAAATGAAAAACTAGAGAGAATGGAAAATGGAGATATGTTTGCAATTGATAGGTTCAAATTTATTGCTATAACACCATGATTTGAGAAACCTAACGGTTCAGTGTCTCATCTCCTACTTTCAGTTGAGCTTAGTAGAGAAAGTGAAGTATGTCTCCTTTCTTCATCCTTGTATTCCTAGTACCTCATATAGGGCCTGACATATTCAGTGACCAACAAATATTTGTTGGATGAATAAATCAATATACTCTTTTAAATTCAAGTCCAGGCCAGGCGTGGTGGCTCATGCCTGTGATCCAAGCACTTTGGAGGCCAAGGCAGGTGGATCACCTGAGGTTTGGAGTTCAAGACTGGCCTGACCAACATGGTGAAACCCTGTCTTTATTGAAAAAAAAATTCAAGTCCAGAGCTGTATAGAAACTCTCTGACATCAATGAAGCAATATAGTAAGAAATGCTATCCTCAAATGCACTTAGAACATCTTTTTTTGGGGTTATCAGAATAAAAAAGAAAGTGGTAGAAATAAAAAAGTATTTATATAGCACAAGGGCCAGTGAGTAAGCCATGTAAATAGACTCAATAAACAACAATAAAAATTTTAATAAACAAATCAACCAACCCCAAATTCCCCTTCCTTCCCCTGTGTATTGCTTCCTCATACTCATTTTTATTTTCTAGTTTCACTCGTTGTAATATTTTTCAGGCTGAAATCATACCCTCAGGCACAACTTAGCATACTGGTTGTATCCGTGATTTAAGTCAGGCACATTCTTAACGTATCTTGTCTTTTCTTTAACTTTTAGGTCTCTGATAGACAAAAGGTGGTTCATGCACCAGCATCATTGGCATCACCTGAGAACTCCTTAGAAATGCAGACTCTCAGACTCTACCCTATACTTAAACAAAAATCTGATTTTTTTTTTTTTCCCTGGAGACAGGGTCTTGCCCTGCTGCCCAGGCTAGAATGCACTGGTTCGATCATGGCTCATTGCAGTCTCCAACTCCTGGGCTCAAGCAATTGCCCTGCCTCAGTCTCCCAATTAGCTAGGACTTCAGGAATGTGCCATCATATCATGCCAGCCTTCCCATAAGTTTGGGAAGCTATGTTCTAGGTGTTACGAAGTTAAGGATCATTTCTGAGGATGTTATGTACAGGATGACAAAAATACACTTTTTTTTTGAGACAGAGTTTCACTCTTGTTGCCCAGGCTGGAGTGCAATGGCATGATCTCAGCAGCTCACTGCTACCTCTGCCGCCTGGGTGTAAGTAATTCTCCTGCCTCAGCCTCCTGAGTAACTGGGATTACAAGTGCCTGCCACCATGCCTGGCTACATTTTTGTATTTTTAATAGAGATGGGGTCTCACCGTGTTGGTCTGGCTGGTCTTGAACTCCTGATTTCAGGTGATCCACCCGCCTTGGATCCCAAAGTACTGGGATTACAGGCACGAGCCACCACCATGCCCAGCCCAAAAATACACTTCTAAGAAGGCAACAGAACTATAAAACAAATACACTTCTAAGAAGGCAACAGAACTATAAAACAAATTAAATGTCAAATGAGGCATCAACTCCTTCATTTCTTCTTCTGTGAGTTCAATCCCTTTGCTTGCTAGAAAGTTATCTAAGTTCTGGACATCAATCATCTCTCCTTAGAAAGAGTAAGAAATGAAATGCAGAAATCTAATATATGTACAATTCTATATTTTGCTTTTCCAACAAATCATTCCTTCATAAACATGTTTCCAAGTTGACACATAATCTTTACAGTAAGCATTTTAACACATTATCTTATTAAACTGACATACCATGGTTTATGTAGTAATTCCTGTAGGGTTAGATATTTCTAATCAGTTTCAATTTTCTCACTATTATGAGAATGAAAATCCTTAAGGCAGAACATTTTTAATTTTATTCAATAAAACTATTTCCATAGGATACATTTCTAAGAGTGGGGTTAGTGGGGAAGGGGTATGAAAAGTTTTGTGGCTCTTCATATTGATTACTACTTTGAATAACTCTTTTTATTGTTTTGGCGATGGAGTTTCACTCTTGTTGCCCAGGCTGGAGTGCAATGGCACAATCTTGGCTCACTGAAACCTCCACCTCCCAGGTTCAAGTGATTCTCCTGCCTCATCTCCAGAGTAGCTGGGATTACAAGTGTGCACCACCATGCCTGGCTAATTTTTTGTATATTTAGTAGAGACAGGGTTTCACCATGTTGGCCAGGCTGGTCTTGAACTCTTGACCTCATGATCTGCCCGCCTTGGCCTCCCAAAGTGCTGGGATTACAGGCATAAGCCACTGTGTCTGGCCTGAAGAACTCTTTAGGGGAAAATTTTGGAGACTAGTGTGGTCAGTGATATATAAATAGATGAGTTATTGTTTACTCAACTTCACCAGTATCCACAAAAATGGAACATATGTTATATGAAAAATATCTGAACACTTATAAATGGGAAATATTCTTCTCCAACATTAATTGCAAATATTAAGATGCTATTTATAACATCTTCCCATTATAGCTTGCAACTCACCCTTGATGTAACTGACAGCATCCATTAAGTCTTTCATGTCAACTGTTGTCTCACCTGTAAGGCAAGGGAAGTATACCTCAGAGTCAGATGAACTGATGTTACTGAGACCCTCAACATTTATGCTGTATGAAATTCTGAAGTTATGAAGAGCATAAGACTTCAGTAATCTTTTCTTCTTCTTCTTCTTCTTCTTCTTTTTTGAGATGGAGTCTCACTCTGTTGCCCAGGCTAGAGTGCAGTGGTGTGATCCCAGCTCAGTGCAACCTCTGCCTCCTAGGTTAAAGTGATTCTCCTGCCTCAGGTTTCCAAGTAGCTGAGATTACAGGTACATGCCACCATGCCCAACTAATTTTTTGTATTTTTAGTAGAGATGGGGTTTCACCATGTTGGCCAGGCTGATCTTGAACTCCTGACCTCAAATGATCCACCCACCTTGGCCTCCCAAAGTGCTGAGATTACAGGCATGAGCCATCATGCCAAGCCAGAATTTACTAATCTTTACATTTTTCCTTAGAATTTTATGGACTTATTCTCAGAGATAACTGTTATCTTAGAAACAAAGTTTTCATTGTAACAAATCTATTCAATTTTTCATTTTTCTTTGCTTTAAAGAGACTGGTTACAGTTAAGTGTAGGAAGAGAATAAATGACTCTGGCCCTATGTACTTTTATTTAGTCAGTTAATCAACAGCACTTTGATAGGCTTTGGGGATACAAAAGTAGGCAAGGTGACGGAGCTCTGGCTCTCAAGGAGAGTACAATGTAATGAAAGAGACAGATAATTAACATATAAACAAAAAGGATTTGACATACTGTTAAGAAGCTGTCAAAAATAAAATAGGGCAACATAATAGAGAGTAATAGGGGATGGGACTATTTAGACGGAAGGTCAAGGAAGGCCTCTCAGAAGAGGATCTATTTGGGTTGAAGCTTTAATGATGAGAAATGAGTAGCCATGTGAAGAATTGGGGAAGAATAAGTAGAAAAAGAGTATGTGCAATAGTCATATGGTGGGACTGAATTTGCCATGATCGAGAGACAGAAGGTCAGTGTGACAGGGGCCAAATAATGCAGAGTCTTGTAGGGCATGATGATAAAGTCTGGACTTTATTTTGGTTGCAATGGAATGTCACTGGAGGACTTGGAAAGCTGGAGTCACTTGACCTGATTTCAGCTTTCCAAAAGACCACTCTGGCTGCTATGGATAGGATGAAGAAACTGGGGAAATGAAGAGCAGACAGGAGCCTGTTTCAGTGGTCCAGTGAAGAGATGACAGTGGCTTGGGCTGTGGTTATAGTAGAGGAGATGGTGACAAGTGATGGATTCAGGACAAATTTTTCACATTAAACCTAGATTTATTTTTTGAAAATTTGTTTTCCCATCTTTCACAGGTGTTGATGAACCTAGATTTAAATGTGGGATATGAAGGAAGGAGAAATCAAAGATGGAACCTAGTCTACCTTCCCCAGTCAACGGGGCAAATGGGATGCCTTTAATGAGATGGGGAGGGCATGAGATTTTTTTTAGTAGAATTAATCAATAATTCCATTAAATTGGTGATAACTTTTAGAAATCCGAGTGGAGATATCAAATAACTAGTTTGATATGCTATTGCTAACTTAGAGAGATTGAGTTGGAGATATAAATTTACTCTACCAGCTTAGAGAAGGCATCTGACCCAATGAGACTGAATGCAATCTCCTAAGAGGAGAGTGTAGATAAAAAGACAGCCAAGGGTCTAACCCTGGGTCACTTCATTATTTAGAGATCTTGGAGGGGAGAACAGTCAGAAAGAAAACTGAGAAGACAATGTCAGCAAGTGAAGAAGAAAACCAGGTGAGTATGGGGCTTTAAAAGTCTAGAGAAAAACACATTTCTTTTTCTTTTTTTTGAGACAGGGTTCTATCATCCAGGCTGGAGTGAAGTGGCACACAATCCAGCTCGCTGCAGTCTCCACCTCCCAGGCTCAAGCAATCCCCCGGCCTCAGCCTCCCAAGTAGCTGCAACTATAGGCACATGCCACCGCACCAGGCTATTTTATTTTATTTTTGTAGAGACAGGGTTTCACCATGTTGCTTAGGCTGGTCTCGAACTCCTGGGCTCAAGTGATTCACCTGCCTCAGCCTCCCAAAGTGCAGGTATGACAGGCATGAGCCACCATGTATGGCCAAAAAATGTATTTCAATAAAAAGGTGGTGGTGGCTGCTTATGTCAAATGATTCTAACATGTCAAGTAAAGTAAGAACAAAGTATGGACTATGAGCCTTGGCAAGAGGTAGGTCATTGACAATCTTGTTGAGAGCTTGTTTGGTGCCATCGTGGAGATAAAAGCCTGACTGGAGAATGCTGAAGGGTGAATGGGAGGTGAGAATATGGAGACAATGAGTAATGACAACTTTTTGAGGCAACTCTGCTGTGCAGAGGAACTAAGAGATGATGTGGTAGGTGGCAGGGAACAAGTGTGAGAGAAAAGCATAGCTGCATGTCAAGAGAAATATAGAGAGAGATACTGCAAAGAGGGAGACATTGATGATCCAGGAGAGAAAGGGAAAATACTGCAGGAGGTAAGTCTTTGAGAGGCAAAGGAAATAGGATCCAGGGTACAAGTGGAAAGGCTGGCCCATGAAAGGAGGATTCTTCTCCTTTATAGCAAGACAAAAGGCAAGGCATGGCTGGGCACGGTTATTGACGCCTGTAATGCCAGCACTTTGGGAGGTTGAGGTGGGTGGGTCACCTGAGGTCGGGAGTTCGAGACCAGCCTGACCAACATGGAGAACCCCATCTTTACTAAAAATACAAAATTAGCTAAGCGAAGTGGTGCATGCCTGTTATCCTAGCTACTTGGGAGGCTGAGACAGGAGAATTGCTTGAACCCAAGAGGCAGAGGTTGCAGTAAGCCGCGATTGTGCCATTTGCACTCCAGCCTGGGCAACAAGAGTGAAACTCTGTCTCAAAAAAGACAAAGAAAAAAGGCGGGGCATATGGGCATAGGTATAGGTAGGTTCATAGAAAGGGAGGTAGAAAAATGACGTCTTTCTTCTCTAACTGCATCTATTGTCTCTATGAAGTTTGAGGTGAGATCATCAGTTGAGAGTTGAGGTGAAATTTGGACCCAGAAGGTGTGAAATTGTCTCTGAGAGTGAGAAAGTAAATTTACTTGGAAAATATAGCAGAGACTTTTTTTGGCAGTGTTAAGGAGCTTGAAGTTTCTGCCCATTATGTGAAGTGAGTTCTATTAGCACGGCTTTGTGATCTTCTCTGGCAATGTTAAGCTGTTCAGGAATAAGCATGAAGTAAAAAGATGGCCGAGTTTTTGCCAAGCAAATTTGAAGTTCTGAGAGTTTGTAAGCTTATATGATGTTGAAGCAGTGAATCTAATTTAAGGAAGGAAGAAAATTGAGACATGGTGATGGTGGTGGTGTTGAATAATAAAACAGTAGGGTCAAAGGTGTGAAGGTCTCTGTGGCTGGAGTAGCTGGAGTTGGAGTTATATACATTGTTCTTGTACAACACGTGATTCAGTAGCATCATTTCATCATATGCAGTTGGCAAATGGACTAATGTCACAGTAATGTGAAAGGTGTGTTGGTTCATACACAATTTTTCCTAAACAAGAAAGGAATTCTTTTCTTCAGCAAGAAAAGAAGAAAATCTTAGGTTGAAGCTACAGCTGGAGCCCTTTCTGTTTCATATTTTAATAAAATAAATAATGAGTGCCTGTCAGGAGAATCACTTGAACCCAGGAGAATCACTTGAATCCAGGAGTTTGCAGTGGGCTGAGATTGCGCCATTGCCCTCCAGCCTGGGTGACAGAGCGAAACTCCGTCTCAAAAAAAAAAAAAAAAAAAAAAAAAAAATTAGTGCCTGTGATGCAGGAGGGGGAACCAGCTTCACTGGCTTAGAGCTCTACTTCCACCTACACTATTTCAGAATGGCAAGCCAGCTCTTTAACTCCGTGTGTGTGTGTGTGTGTGTGTGTGTGTATTTTTAAATATCTTATAGTTGTTCTGTGCTATTTGCCTGGGCTGTACAAGTTTCCTTGTGCTTTTGGTAGTGTTCTGGTTACAAATTGGTATAGATTTTGAGTGTGCTTCCAGAATTTTCTCCATAAGCTCAGTTACTTTAGTGGGTAATTTTATAAAACAGGAGGTTTTTCAGGAATTTCTATATGGTGTTATGGCAAAAATGTCTGCATAGTAAATGAACCAGAAGGAAAAAGGTTAGAGAGTGAGTCTATGAAACAGAGATTTTGGAGATGAAGTATTAGGGAAGGACAAGTTCTAGGTCATTACTATGTGAGTGGTAATCAAGATAGAAGGGAGGAAAAAATGGCTGAAGTGAAAGATATCAAAGAACAGGAGGTCAGAGTATTGAATGGGTGACCTGTATCAGATGTTTTTAACCTGGGTCCACTGACCCTGTATTGCTAGAATTCAGGGAGGTCTTGAGCTGGAATGGAAAAAAAAAGACTTTAAAAAAAATAATAAATATAGGGTCTTGCTATGTTGCCTGAGTTGATCTTGAACTTTTGGCCTCAAGCAATCCTCCTGCCTTGGCCTTCCAAAGTGTTGGGATTACAGGTGTGAGCCACAATGCTTGGGAAAAAGTGTGTCTTTCTTTTCACTAATGATTAACTTAAATTTATTGTTTTCTTCGATTATTAATGTAGGCAATAAACCATGAGAATAGTGGCAGGAGCTGTGACTTTGTCACTAATATAAATCCCTGACATTTTCAAATCATAATATAGTTGCTCCAAATATGTTGAAATGTTGCTTATGCTCATCATTACTTTATTTTTTATTTATTTTATTTGTTTGAGACAGAGTCTTATTCCGTTGCCTAGGCTGGAGTGCAGTGGAGTGATCTTGGCTCACTGCAACCTCTGTCTCCTGGGTTCAAATGATTCTCCTGCTTCAGCCTCCCTAGCAGCTGGTATTACAGGTATGCACCACATGGCCAGCTAATTTTTTTGTACTTTTAGTAGAGATGGGGTTTCACCATGTTGACCAGGCTGGTCTCAATCTGCTGACCTCAAATGATCTGCCCTTGGC